AAAAAAAAAAAAAAAAAAAAAAAAAAAAAAAAAAAAAAAAGAAAAAATGCCAAGAAGCGATACGATATTATCGAAGTCTGCCATGTGTTAATTTTAATTTGCACAGTTACTACACAATATTTAAAATATATGAAGTTTGTAATTTTTAAAATGATATAAGGAGTCTATATATGTGTACATTTAAAACAAGAAAAACGAAGGATAACAACAACCAACATAAAAAAAAAAAAAATATTCTGTTTACTGATTTCAGTAATTATTGCTTTTTTCTTCTTCTATGTAAACAATGAAAAAATTTTTAGTCTTATTGTGTAATTATTATTATTAATTAATTATTATTATTATTATTATTATTATTGCGTTATGTTACATTTTATTATTAACAATATATTGCATTAATCATATTTGCATGCTTTTTTTACTTACGCCCATAAACCATATATGCCTATATTGTATAAGAAAAAATCATTTATAATATTTATTGTTTCGCTATCTATTAATTTTATTATTGTTTTTTTTTTATTGTTCGTTAATGAAAATTTAAATTTATATTAGAGAATTATACTTTTAATATAACTTCTTTTTTTTTTTTTTTTTAAGAGAATATTATAGAAAGTATTATAGAAATTATATTCCTTTCTCTTTTTATTTTGTATTTTTGTTCATTCGTTTCAAATTAAAATTGTAAGTAAATTCTTTTACAATTTTATAAATATTAAGAAAGTAAGACTGTTTAATAAAATCAATTTATCAGTGATATATCAAATACATCGATAAGATTGTAAAATAATGAAATATATAAGGACTGACACATACATTCAAATTTTGATTTGTGTTTAAAACACTGCGTCTTTTATTTTTACTGTTACTTTAAAATCTTTTTTTTTTGTAAGTTAAATTATTATATATATATATATATATATATATATACATATGTGTGTGTACGTGTGAAATAACATAGTTCCTGTTAAAATTTTTTTATTCATCGTTGGAATAACAAAAAAAAAAAAAGAAAATCTATTTCAATTTTTCTTTAAGAGTATAAAAAAAAAAAATTTTTTTTTTAAATAAAGAAATTTAATGAAGTTAACGTTAAGTAAAAAATTGAATATATAATTACTATTGATTTTTAATAGCTTTTTTTTGTAAAATAAGTTTGGCTTGTACTTAAGGATGCATTATACAATGTATTTTCCATATTATTCGTTTTTAAAACGATAAATTGCTAAATATTCGTAATAATGATGTAGAATATATTATAAATTAGTAATTTTTAATATAAATTCATGAATTGCGCATAACAGTATGAATCTCTCTTTCTATCTCTACATATTTATCACTTTGCTAAGATTTATCAAATTTTATGCATTATTGTAGCGTATTAAAGAAAAAGAACAAAAAAAAAAAAAAATAAAAAAGAAGAAGACCTATTCGTATATGCAGATAATAAATAAAGCAATATTTACATCTGCTTATGTAGTATATAAGCAATGTATTTTGACACACATGTACAAGCTGTTTAAATAAATCTGGAATTGAGTTGTCACTTGACAACAGCGTACCACGATACTTTGGACCAAGAAATAGTATAACAAAGAAATGTATTCAAGCTAAACGTTTGCATAAGAAAAATAATAATAAGAAGAAGTTTAGCTCTGATTATTGTGCCAATTTTCTCTCTTTTCATTAATATTATTTATTTCATGAAATATAATAATAAAAAGAAAGAAAAAGGAAATATTTTTAATTAGTTGCTTTTTTTTTTTTTCATCTACGTATGTTGTTTTAATAAAATAACATTGTTCAAAGTGAATCTTAGAATCAGGGAAAAAACAAATGTATTGTATCGATGAATACATTTGAAATTATTGCACGTTTGTGGTACAACCATTATTTACTGCCTGATATATAGTTAATGTTTACTACCAAATGTATATTATGTAACGAAGCATCATAATTGTAGTACAATAAAGCATTCTCAGAAAGTAATATTAATTTTATCCCTTCGTTAAATCTTATGTTTATTTAACGTTATAGTGGATAGTATAATTGGTTTTTTAAGATCAATGAATTTTATAACAATAATGTATTTAAAAATGATTTGTATTTACAAAAATATTATTATAGATCAAAATTAGAATTTCATCAATAATAATGAATTGAAGTAACACGAAATGAATATTATTTGTTGCTTGTATTAATGATCAACATACGAGTCTGTAAGAGATATATCTTCCTGCAGTTTCAGAAGGTCTTATAATTTTGACTACTTGTCCTCTTTTCAAACCAAAGTAACGAGCAACTGGATCACCAGCTTGTATACGCATTAATTGATTTTCTTTAAGTTTATATCTCGTTAATAATTCGTCTTTTTCATCAGGAGTTAATACTATGTGTTCAGGTACCAGTTCATGTTCTGTGATATTTATCAACAATTCGGATTCCAAAAATTGTTCTAAAATATATTTAGGTGCCATGTCTACTAAGGATTGTTTAGCAGATGGTGTCATACCTTGCTGCACAACAATGATTGCCCTATAAAAGTTATAATTAAAATGTAAATTAATTTTGCATTATAATAAATCTTTTTAAGATGCATACCTATGAATTTTTTCTTCCTGCATACGCTGACAATAAGTTTTAATAGTTTTGATACCAATTTTGGGTTCATCAGGAAAGAATACAAAAAGTTGATCTGTAGGATCATCGTTGTGTGCAACTAATACAATAAGATCGCTACGTGCTGGTTTCTTTTCACTCGGTTTTTCACCAAATTGTTGTTTAAATTGTTCTAAAGTTTGATCCAATTCATCCTGTGTTACGAGATAACCTCTATCATGGCACAATTGCATCACTGTTTTACGAATTCGCCACAATTTATATGATTCCGCTTCATCATCCATTTTGCAATATATGTAAATATATTTTTAATAAATTATTAAATGTTAATTTTAATAATTTTACTTGGTATTTTTCTTATTTAAATTAAAAATCTTCAATCTCAATAACGCATAACACGCCGAATGAGATAAACAAATATTTCACTAACCCTAACGCGTCATTTCCTTATTTCCTCATTTCCATGTTCCTAACTTATCTCAATATGGTAATGTTGATTTCAATATCGATAAAGTAGATTGCTGCATTATCAATAGAATTTTTTTTAAAGTGAAAGTAAACACGTTTTTGTTAAGATCTTTTTATTTAGTTTTTCGCTATTTTCTTCTAAGATTTTTTCCAATTTTAATCAAAATAAATATTTTTTAATTGTTGTTTACTGTGATAGTTCAACATGGATCAATATTTTAAAAGCTATGAAGAATTAGATGTAAGAGATAGGTTATAAATAAATGTTTACATGATTATATTATAATAAAATAATTTTTAGGTCCATCGTTTAATGCTCGATGATACGTCCAGAACTTTAGCATATAAAAATGCTATATTTAAATGTGCAGATAAATTCAAAGACAAAGTAGTTATCGATGTTGGTGCTGGGACAGGTGTTACAAGACTGTAAAATATTAATTATATATATAAAATCATGTGAAATCTTAATTGTTTAAAACGAATACATGTTTTTTAGGTATACTCTCTATTTTCTGTGCTCAGGCTGGTGCAAAAACAGTATATGCGGTAGAAGCTAGCGAATTAGCCAAAATATGCAAAGAAGTTGTTACTGAAAACAATTTAGAAAATGTAATTGAAGTGATCCATAGTAAAGTAGAAGATTTGGATCCAAATAATATTCAAAAGGTAGATGTAATAGTCTCCGAATGGATGGGATTTTATTTAGTACACGAAGGAATGTTTGAATCAGTTCTATTTGCTAGAGATCATTTTTTACGTGAAGGAGGAATCTTATTTCCATCAGTAGCTAAATTATATGCTGCTCCATGTCAATTGTCAAATATGTTTCAATTTTGGGACAATGTTTATGGAGTTAATATGAAGTAATTATCAATCATTTGTATATATAATTTGTTAATTTGAACTTATGTTATATATAAATTATATATTAAATTAATTTTATTTTGATTTAGATGCATAGGAAAACATTATCGAAAGAATAAATCGATGAAACCAGAAATAGCATTGGTGAATCAGGATGACATTTTAGGGGATGGTAAATTAATAACTTGGTTAGATTTAGAAACCATTAGTTTAGAAGAAATAAATATTTTGGGTGATGACGAATACGTATCAGTTTGTAATAAAGGAGGATTATTGCAAGGAATTTGTATTTGGTTTTCCGTCGAATTTCCTGATGGTTCAGAATTATCTACAGGACCAATGGATGCATCAACGCATTGGAAACAAACTATCATTGTATTGCCCGTAGATGTAAAAGTAGAAAAAGACGAGCCTGTGGCATTTCATTTAGAAATAAAAAAGGACACTTCGAAAGAAAGAAAATTTAATATAGAATTTATATTATTGGATGCTGCCGAAGTTGAACACGAAATTCCATGTTTTTGTTATATGACTAAGTGTATTGTAACGAGAACATATTTAATAGAACAACAATCGATTGATATCACGAAAGACTGAAATTATTTGCATATAATATGATTATGCAATGTGCACTCCTATTAAAAAAGTCTTATTTTATTATTTACATTGCTAATATAACATAATATTGTATAAATATATAATATGTGTGTATTAATTGTAAATAAATAAATGAGAGAATATCATTGATAAAACAATATACATAAAATGTAACGAAATTAAAAAAATATTTCTATCAGAAATTATTATACATATATATGTATTATATATAATATGTTTTTATTATTTTATAACAATTTAAATAAAAAGATAAAAACGTAATAACTAGAAATATATAATTAACAATAAAGAGTTTACAAAAGGAATAATACTTTACACAATGTAAATATATTTTACGTATATGATTTTATAATTTCTTTACAATTTTATATTGTAGTACCAATATTAAGACCATCAGTTAAATGGTTGGATAAATAACTTATATCATATACGTTACGATCTCTCTTAAAATTTGTATTAATTATACATGTACTGGGTACATGCGTCTCTCTTTCTTTCTTTCTTTCTTTCCTTCTTTCTCTTTTTGTTTTTTACGCAAATGTAAATTTCTGGAAGAAATTAAGAAAATAATCTCATCGTGGTCTTGATCACAATTGTCAAGTGAAATGGATTTACTTTATAATTTTATTTATATAATATAAAGAATGAGAAATAAATATATATATATATATATATAAACTAATAAAGAAATTTATCAGATTAGGATACAACATTTTCTTTTTGAGATATATAAGAATATAATGCATATTTGTTTTTACTTATTCTGGATATTTGATTAATCTGCTACAATTCGCTACAATTTTGCTGAATACGTACAATTCATTTGAAAATGGTCATTTCCTACAGCTTTTTTCGTTTATATTATTATTTATTTTTTTTTTTTTCTATTAATATGTTCATGAATTCTGCATTGCATTAGCATGACAGAAATGGTAATGGTTGTTGTTTTTTTTTTTTTCTTGCGATTACTTGTATACTAATTTCACAAGAAATGAGAATTAAGAATTGCATACATAAGTATTGTGAATAAATTGAATAATAAAATTTGATATAAGATTTTATTAAATTCTTACCAAAAGTAAGACAATAATGTAAGAATAAATCTGTTGTCTTACATTTGGAAAAAAGAAAATGAATTTATATAATATTTCTATTATCAGTTTGTAAATTTCTATGAAGCATATTTAATAATATTATGCACACGTTACACAATCTTTGATATTTATGTGTGTGTTTATGCATGAAATTTAATTCTATAATATCATTCAAGGAGTATTTTAACTTACTTAGTAAAATTTCTATTGGTACAAAGTACTCGGACACATCTATATTTAAATGCAATTGTCTCAGAAAGATTATTTAATGTTAAAATTATAAATTACTGACATTTTATCATTGCATTGTACATACATCTCAATAATAGTATGCGCACTTCATCGAGCTATTATATATTAAAAACAATTTTTTCTTCTTTTTTTAAATATTATTTCTTTTCAATTCTGATTTAAGAGTAGATCTTTTATTTGTACATAATATTTAACTTGTTGTTAAACTTTTGAAATTATATTGATATCAAGCACGCATCTGGATGAATAGACAATGATATTAAGCAACTGTACAAATATCAACATTTGCGAAACCGAATAAGATTTTGGTATCTAGTTTTGTTAAATTGAATTTTTATACGAAATAATATATATATATATATAACGAAAGGTGAAGATAAAATATATATATTTCATAATTTACTATTTTAAAGAAATTTGTGAAAATCATATTGTTCGAAAAACAAAACCATACTTTTAAATAAATTATAAAAATATATTCGTTTCAGAAAAGAAAAATGTATACTTGATTGTTAAAACTAGTCACTTCAATCTTTTCGACCATCATTTTTTATATTTTCATAACACATCGATATATAATAAACATTAATATTACTAAAAAATCAACAAGTGATAATAATTCATTAAAATTTGCTTTTTATTAGTTTTGGATGGAATTAACAATTCTGTCGGATTATTTCGGAATACTTTTAGTGAATTATTCACTTATTGTTAATTTAATTAGAATTTTTTTTTTTTTTTTTTTTACCGAGAAATCTATAACTATTTGTAGTTTTGTAACAAATAAGATTTCCAAAAAGGCAGTTATATGGTAATTATTAATGTGATTTTATGATTTTTAATATTTATATTTAAAGATCTCTCATGAACTTACACTCAGAATAGGATAATAATGTTTTTATATCTGAATTTTATTAGCTAAATGTGTATTTGTGTAATGTGTATATTGTTTTTAATATCAAGAACAAGTTGGATTAAACATGACGGAAAACTAAATCTCTACTTGTATAATGTAAGATAATTCTTGTTGTTTTTTTTTTGTTTTAAATTTTATCTTGTATGCATTAATATTCAAAATTTGTCTATTTTTTTTTTTTTTTTTTTTAATAAATATTAATAACATATATATCGTTTAAAGAATTTGTTACTTGTATACACTTTATATTTGCAAATGGGCAGCATATTTATCTAAAAAAATTGTACATTTTGATAATTATATATTTATTTTATGTTCATCATTTTTCTTTTCTTTTTATTTATTTTTTTTTTCTTCCAACCAAGATTTATTTTATATTTTATTTTATCTAAAGATATTGCGATTTCAATAGCTCGATAAACACAGCTTATGCAATGTCATAATTAAGTAAAATGTAAATCATTATTTTATTTGCCTCTCTTGTAATTTTATAATTAACAACGTGTTTAATAAACTTTGTTTTATTTATGTTCATTTTAAATGAAGATTCGATTAAAAGGACACCAGTGTGATAAATTTGATCATCGATTAGAGCAGAATAGTTTGAAATATCGTGGAAAATTTATAAAATTCCATCCATAAGTACATAGTGTATACAAATATATATATATATAAGAGAATTATTACATATACTCTTATATATTTTTTGATAATAGGCAAGTTTAATGGAATGGCTTATAAAGTGAAACTATGTCAAAATGAATGGAACAAGTACTCTAAAATAAAATACTAAAAGTAAGTATATTATCTTCATAAGAGCACGATTTCACATATGTTATTTAATAGAATTCATTCTAATATAGAGTAAATAACAAGGAAATACATATGATGAACTATATATGTTAACGAGTTCATTTATACAATTGTCTATCTATATACAATATGTAAATACGAGAGTCATTCTTTCTAAATATAATTTCAAGTTTAATCTTCATTGATATTTTAATTTATTATATATTAGAACAGCGTGAACATTTTTCTTTTCTTTATCTTTTTATCTTATTCTGTTCGCTAACTGTATTGTTATTATTATTAAAAATCTATAATGGCATCCCAGACTTTGCGATGAGCTTTAAATATCTAACACTTTGCTGACTATTAGAAATGTTTTATTTGAAGATAAAGATAAAGAGATAGAATATTATATAAAGGTACTCTATAAAATTATTAGATATGCTATAATACATTTTTAAATATACGTTTAGAATGTATTATTAGGCATAGAGAATACATAATAGTTTATTAGTTTTAATATCATTAATTATTTTTCATTTTAACAATAAATTGTTTAAATCAATGTACAAAAATGTAAATAATATTGAAGACAAGAAAAATAATGAAAAAAAACAATAGAAAAAGATTATACAGTGCAGAGATATTTCTATATTATTAATTGGTGTCTGTATTGTTTCGTATAGATTAACCATTGATAATTATATAATTTAAGGATATCATTACCATCGAGCTGTTGCTAACACTTTGCTTTTATTTGATTTTTATCATTTTATTAACTGAAGCGTCAAATCTTGTGTTGCTCTTTTTGTTGTTGTTTTTATAATAAATTGTTATAATCGTTCGTGAATACGCATAAATCATTTTTTAAAGTAATTATACAAATATATATATATATACAAAAATAATATAATAATACATATAATAATTATTATTTATACCATATTATAATAATTATTATAATATATATTATATATATATTATAATAATATATATATATTATAATTATATATATATTATATATTATATATATATATATATCAGTGAAGAAAATTAATAATAAAATGAAAATTCTACGAGTAATGGTAGCAGAGCCCATTTGTCATTCTAATTCATGCTTTGTTTTGTTTTTAATTTAACTTGTCATTGATAATATTAATCTAGAGAAATATTAGGCGTAAATGTTGACCAATTAAAATGTCACATACCCAAGAAGTTTTTCCAAAGGAATGAAAGATTGTTGAAAAATCACAAATACATTACCCAGTGCAATTAAAAGACGTACATTACACGGTTGTTCCATATGTACTGAACATCGCTCTGGTGGTATCCGTATCTAAAGTAACATCTTCCGGTGAAGCTAAATCAACTTTAATCGATCCAGAATTATTTCTTCTTCTTGTCACACCTCCACCCCAATTTGAAAGAGTCCAATGATAATTTTCACCCTCCTTATCGTTATTAGCAGTCTCTTGGGTTTCATCATTGTCTTTATCTAAACCAGTCTCTATAGAGACAGAAGATTGTGATGCAACTGAATCAAAACTAGAATCTCCACCACCTCTGTAACGGCTTACACATTCGGTAGCCATTTCACCAGGTGATTCTTCGATAGCTCGTAAAATATTTTGACAAAGCTCGGAATCTAATGGAATTGGATCTTCGGAATCACGATTGTGAATGGTAATTGCTATATGTGCCGGATGTGGAATAGGAAGTGGTATTACTAATTTCTCAGCACTGTATGGTCGAATTTGACGTTTCCATGGTTGCCATCGTCCTTCTATGCTACCATTAGCTGAAACGGTACGTCTTCTGACTTTGGTAGATGTTAATAATCCGTTGGTATCACTAAAAAAAAATTAATATATATATATACATATACATATTCTTCTTTTATTTTATTACCTATCAATATCGCTACAACATTTTAATATACTGTACCATCGTTTATCAGATTTTTTGCTATTACTGGCTTGCTTTGCTCGAGGATTAAATGCTGAAACTTCAAGATATGGGCTATGCACTTGAATATTTCCACGTGGTGCATAAACTGCGCCTAACAAATCAGGCCCATTTATACCACCTAATTCAGTACTATGAACCATATCTGTGTATCGTGACAAATCAACACCCGGATGTGGTTCTAGTCTAAATTTGGTATCAGAATCATCGAGAGGTTGAAGGAAATCCAGACTAAAAATGTCAGCATACATGAGACCAGCTAAACCTGCCCAGTCACCAACACCTAATCCTTTATTTTCCCAAAAATCTTCTTCGTTTCCAGTTAAACGAGCAAATACGTGTGATGGGTAAAGTCGTTCCAACATGAGGGCACCTTGTTGTATAACTACCTGTATTATTATCAGGAATCAAACATATAAGTCATAAAATAAGATTACAATATTTTATATATATAAAAAAAAAAAAAATAATAACGCACCTTCAAATCAAACGTTGTTAGTTTAATCTTGCTTCTTACAGCCACACCAAGTCCTGTTTGTAAATTTTTCCTTCGTCGTTCTAATTTTTCGTGTAAAACAGCGATAAGATCTCTAGCTTCTTTTTCAAGCGATTTGTACGGATCTTTCATCTTCGCAAGACCAGCGGCAAACGGACCAAAACAAGCTTCTACGAATTGGCTAAAATCTCGTTGCGGTTGAGTTATTAATCTTTCTATTTCTTGCTGAAAAGCTAATAATTCGTCCAGCTCTAATTTAGCTTCAAACGCGGCTAACGCTTGTTCCGGTCTTATCTGAAAAGAAAAAAAAATATTTATTATATTAGAAAATTTGTAGAAGATTTTTATATACATTAATTATTCAATTTGTGATTTTCTTACTTGATAATAATAATCTGATGCTAATCCTGGTCCTGCTATTCTTTTAACTACAAAGCTGTCGCTAGCAGGAATTCTTCCTCTATTTTTGATTACCAAATGGAACATGATTGTATCCCATACCACTCTAATGCAATAACGTATCACAGCAACTATAAAAATAATTATGTTACATAAAAATATATTCACTCTCTTAAAAAAAAAAAATTCAAATAAATTTCTTACCAGTAAGTATTACAAAAGAAATGATAGGGCATACAACGAGAGCTACTATTAAGGCTGCTATTGGTTGCAAACATCCTTGTATACCAATATTCCAAACCAATGCTTCCATAACAACTAAATAGCGATTGCGACTTGGTTCTGGACTATCTAAATCCATGATAAGTGCCATGAAAGCATGTAATGTTAAAGTAATTAAAGGCATCCTGAAAGATATAATTATTTTTAGAATAAAATCATATTACTCAAAAACAAAAAAAATTCTAAAAAGATTAACATATTAACTAACCACATAACAGCAGTAAGTGCAATAAGTAGAGATCCGAAACTTGCAAGTATACAAACGACAGGGAAAATAAATAATATAACAAGCGTTCCTAAAAGGCCTTTGGCGCCATAATTCCATAGCCTATTTAAATGTCTTGTCATTCCCTTGCCGATAAATCCTATAAGAAATTAAAAAAAATTAATATTTATTTAAAATATACAAAATTGATATATATAAGTGAGATAACAAGATTTACCTGTATCCGGTTCTGTTTCAAAATGTGTTCGACTTTTACTGATATGCCTCCATAGTGCTACTAATCGAGAACAGAGAGTAGGCATTTGTGAAGATTTTCGTGGGAACAATGTGCCATTGACTTGACTTAATTCTAAATCAGGAGTAAAAGGTTGCACAAGTAACAAAGCACGGATGGAGACTGGACTGTACCATGGAACTGCTACTCCCAAAAGAAACATTGCATTCCAAGTCCAACACCATGTTCTTGCTATGTAATTTATCCAACGCCACATTGGCCACCTTCGTGTAAGGTAGGTAACGTGGATTAACGATATCTAATGTACATTTTATATAATTGCTAAGTTTAGAAAACTTATCAAGTTTTTTCTTTTTCTTCAACTCACCTAGTCGTCGTTGTACGTACTACTTCTCTTTCAACTAAGAAAACAGGTTGACTCGGATCCGCACGCGGTGTTGTTATGGACGTTGGCGTATTGCTTAAAACTGTTGGAATGATTTCAGATTGACCTTGAAAATTTCGTCTTATTATCCAATTTTTTGGAAGCCATATTTGTGTCGGCCATTGGAAGCTTCTAGTCGGTGTTTTAACTTTACGCAATTCTTTCAATAAAACTGGCTCTCTCTAAATAAAAAATTAAAATATGACAATACAATTATATAAATAAAATTACAAATAGAACTAACAAATATTTGTTGTATACCTCTTTCATAAAAATTAAATCACGATTGAGAAAGTAACAAGTCTGTTGCAAATTTTGATGACTACACAAAGCAAGAGCTTCCTCGTGAGCACACCACTCGCATTCCTCTATAAAGTTTTCTTCAGCTTCTCTCATACGATCTCGCATCCATGGTTGTATTCGTGATAAAACTGGATGTTCGAGTTCAATATATTGTCTTAAACATTCTTTCGTTTGCAGCAACTTTCGTTGGACATTTTCAATTGCTCTGTGCATTAATACGACGGATTGTGCTTGTTGGACTAGAAGTTGTGCAATACCTTCACCGAGTGCAAGTATATCCGGATGCGACAAAATGTTGGTATATACTCTTTGTAAATATTCTCTCATCACCGCTTCATTAACTTCCTAAATAAAAACAAAAACGGAAAGGATTGACAAAGATGTTTTTAGCAAAATAAAAATAATAAAAGTAAAGTTTTTTTCGTACTCTTTCTATTTCTTCATCTGGTTTTTTCTGTGCTCTTAATTCTGATATCAGTCTTTCCCTAAAATGAAGAAACCAACCACGAGTTTCTCTCTCTAAAATCGAGACTAGTATTGGTAAAGCCTTTCTGATAATGTCTCTGCTAAATAATCTTAGGTCAACAGCAGCTCCACCGGGTGTACCAAACACAAAAGGAATTGGAACAGGTAATAACTGAGATGATTCACGTTCAACCTCGAATTTTTCCATTGTTGCTCGACGTAGTTGTTTTCTTACAAATCCACAAAGCAGTTCCAATGAATCTTCATACTCTGGCTATATATTATAAAATATAACGTATATATAAATATATGATATATATTTACACTTTGATACTATATTAGAAAATATATATATATACTTTTTTATAGAAAAACAATGTACACTTACTCTACATACTAACTCTGCAACTAAATATCGACAACGTTCTTCTCGAATTTTGGCATCTAAATTATGTGCTTGCAAGGATGGCACACCTATTATTATATCTGTAAAAATATATACATATTGTAATAATATAAATTAAAATAATAATTATATAATTACAAGTATTATCAATAATTTTGTATATATTTATTTGTCTTACCGAGAAGACGTAAAAATCCTGTTAAGAATGCTTTAAAAGATTGCGAAACACTGAAGCAATGGGACACTAATCTAGCTTTTGCAGTTACTACAAGAAATCTAGTAGCTAAGGCAAGATCTCTGAGTAGTGCTTCGCGTCTTCTGTCTCTTCCTCGTTGAAGAAGAGCACTTAATCGCCATCGATGTATTTGACCGGCAAAATTGATTGAATCCACTTCAAATTCCCTGTACAAATAATGGCGCAAAATGCAGGTAATTAGATAATATGTAAAATTGTATACATGTAAATACTTCTTTTGTGTGTCCTATGTAATTGTGCAAATACAATTTCGAAGTTTATAGTAGAAAAAGACAAAAAAAAGTAGGAAAAGTAGTATAATAATATTTAATAAATTCTACACGACGAACTATACAATCAAATTTTTACAAACACACAATAACTGAAATCTTATTTAATGTTTTATTTTTTTTTATTTTTTAGTTTAATTAAACAATTACTGATATTGTTCTATAAAGATCTGTTGTTGCTAATTAAAATATCGTACGATATTTTTTCAATTAATTGAAAAACAAAACTAAATAATATACACTTACTTATGTAACTCTGCCTATGGACATTGTAATATGTAAAAACTAATAATTATTTATCTGTTTTTTTTTTATTTTCTATTTTTACAAGCATATCTCCTAAAAATAATATATAAGATAAACCCACACCACGTTGCAATGTTTTACAGTGATAATTTTTTAAATATTATATATATATATATATAATATATATATGTACAATGTGAGTAAAACATGCTAAAGAGATGCAATAGACATTTGTTAGATACTATACCAATTACATGTGTTCGATATATTGAATTTTATTTTATTTTTTTGTTCCCAGGTGAAACCTTTACTTTCATAATTTGAAGTGCAAGTAAAAATGATGTATTATTAATTGCTATAGTTAATATATTTATACATAGCAGTATATATGTGAAACTTTGGAAAACAAAAATTTGTGCTTCTTTTTATTTGAATAAATTTTTAATATTATTTTTTAATTGAATAAATCTTAAGGAAAGTTCGTGTTTGAGTGAATTATAAGAATAGACAAGTACAACACTGAAACTGACAAGTAGAGCATCTACAACATTTTATTATTAATGTAATCATCTTTTGTTTAAATAAACAGATCGATATAGAGAAAATAATATAGAAATGATTTTTTTTATAATAATTATGTAATTAATTCAGCTCTTTGTCTCAGTTTCAGATAGATTATTGCTTAATCGTTAAACATTTTAGTATTTAATTTTCACTTATGCGTGTGACATACCCGCATTTTCGAATGCTCTCCAACTGAGTGGCATTCAGCTTCTTCGGCTTTCCGTATTTATCCTTGTGCAAGCTTTACAAAAATACGTTAAAACGTTTATCAGAGATGACAAAATATGAAAATGAATTAATAATCCTATCGTCCTAAATTTTCTTCCTTCCCGTATCACAATTGTTTCCACAAAATTAACAATTCTTATCCTCTTTTTTTTTTTTTTTTTTTTTTTTTTTAATTTATATGTAACAAAATTGTTTGTATATTTATTCGCTTGCGGATAATAGAAAATTGCTAATAAAATTTGATAATAAAAAATACAAGAAAAATTGTTCACACTCCATGCCGACTAATAAAAAACTGCAGCACTCTAAATATCACACAAAATATCTTACTTGTTTCTAAATCTACATTATTTAATAATACTGTGTCTAATTGTTACACACATTACTTTCGTGTTTTTTTTTTTTTTAAATACTTACGTACTGCATTATATCTACCTGTGTATTAAATATTGGCAAATATATTAAAATCATGTTTCAAAACGTGTAGACATATAATAATCTTTCCTTCGATGATAATATATTTGACGATGATCGCTAATATTTAATCTAGCGAGATTAATCTAACATCTAAATTAAAAACTAACAATATAAGTAATATCGATGACTATAAAACTACTTGATTGAAAAATAAACAACAAAACAGGGACAAGACAAGAAAAGGAGAAGGAAAGGGAGAGAGAAAAGGAAGAAGAAGGAAACAAAATAATTACAAACAATAATAAAATTTGGTTACATAGAGATTAAGAGAGAAATAATAATAAAAAAAAAAGAATATGGCGGTATTAGTTTTTTTATTTCCAACGACTTACCCTCTCTCTCTGATGCTTTCTAATTGTTTATTAGTAAGTCTTCGAGGTTCTCCTTTGCTATCAACTGCTACAGCATCCAATTCGTCAAAACTAGGTGCTACGAAGAGATCCTTCAAGTGATGTTTCTTTCTTGCAAGTGTGTCTTCACCTTCCGTAGTCGTGGAAAGTGGTGGTGGCAAGACAATCGGAAATGTTCTCCAGTGATAAAGAAATTGTTGTGCAACGTCTTTGATATTGTGTACCAATGCCTCCACTTCGGCTGGTGCACCACGTAGGTGCGACGTGTCGAACTCAACCGGTTCTTTCTACAAATTCATCGCACATATAATATTTGTAATATTGCGTATAAACCAAAAAAGTTCGTACATTTTAATATTAATATTTCCAAAGTAAATTTTACAAAAACAATTCACATTATACAGTTTCAAAGTAAAGTTTGAACGCAATAAATGCGCGAACTTTTGATTCACTCTAATATCACGTAATTAATTCATATTTGTACTTGTATTTATACAGAATAATTATAAACTACAATACAATATTTGAATAATGAAATTATTTGATAGAATATAATGGTAAATAAAATATAATAAAAGAGATTAGTACATATATACGATATATATTATATCTATAAACATTTATTTTAATGAACACCATTTTATCTGTTTACAAAACAATTATTAAAATGAAACAAGCTCGTGAATTTATTTGCAATTGCTTAATTGATTGTTTTATGTAAAATTTCTTTTGAAAATATTAATTTTAAAATCTACGAACATTATTATCCCCAAATGTAATAATTTATATTAACAATAAAAAAAATACAAAAGAAAGATTACTTCTGGCTGAAGTCCATCTCCATTTCGATGATAAGGTTGGTGAGGATAAGCCTGATGATTCGGTCCCGTGTTAGCGGAGTTGGCGGAAGCCGAGTTCAGATTGTGGGGCATCTCGCGCGTAAAGAGCGTGCGCGGCGGCTGAGGTCAGCTGCCCCTTATTCCGACTATCTCTTCATACACCATGCTGCTGGTCGCCACCATTTATCATAGCACGCTTTAAGTAAAGTATAAAAGTATTTCATCGATAAGAAGARGAAAAAGAAGAAGAAGAAGAAGGGTTTATCTTTTTATTTAAGAAATTTAAAGGTTAAATGTTCGTTCACCAAGATGGCAGCTCTTACGAGCCCGCCATATTAGATTTTTGTAGAAGTTTTCAATCCATCATTTTTAATAGCTTTAAAATTGTTTTTTTTTTCTTTCTAATTAATCTTTTTAATTATATGTCTATATACATTTTTTTTAGGTTAATTAACAATACATTTAATTAAAAAAAAAAAAGAATTTCAATAGGTAGCTTTTGTATCGTATAAATACGTAATTTTTTCTTTTCCTATTAATTTAATTCGATAACACATTCAAAAGGAAATCGATTAGCAAGCTAGGATGGGAGCCCCACCCAGAACACGCACTCACGCAACCTGTTTATCGGTTCGTTACGCGCAAAAGGAGAATGAAGTTACAAGAATAAATTATTTATTTATAATCTTGTTCTCTCTTGTGTTAATGAAAATGTTATCATAAAGTACTACACATACATATGTATGCATGTTAGAAAGCAACAATATTAGGTTACGGTAATATTTTATGGTATATATATATATATATATATATATAACAAAAAAAATATGTTTAATTAATAAAATATAAATTTATATTACACACGGTATAAATATGCAAATACACGTGTATAATAAATTGTGGATACAAATAAAAAAAAAACAAGAGAAAACAAAATGTTTATATAAATAATTGATCACAAACATTTTATCGCATTAAATAGAAATATTATTTTCCTATGTATGGAAAATTTTACGAAAAAGTAGAGAGAAAAATGTTTAGAGAGATAAATAGAAATAAGAGGATAATCTTTTCCGTCAGATAAATATAAATATAGAAGCATCAAAGACCACATAAGAGCGGTCTTATTCATCCGTCACGCGTATGGTGGTTTCGAATGAATGTAAGGGTCTTTCCCATTAAACGATTATATCCCATTAAACAATTAACATTCTGTACATTCCACTTGACGTTTCCCATTTATTTGTCTTTCTTGACTTTTTAATAGTTTTTGAACGAGTAAACGATGCAATACAACAATCCTCCTATCTCGTTCACCACTTATGACGTATATAAGTGTATTATATATATATATATATTTACTTATTTAATTTTATTAAGTACATAGATACATGTAAATAAATACACACAATTAGATTGCAAAGAGGACGCGTTATTTAAAAGTTCAAACCTCCTTTTGCTTATATGTATTTAGAAGGGGCTATAAATATTTTGCAAAGAGCAAAGCTCTGAAATAACGTTCCACGAGACACGCTTTTAGAAAATGGGTCGGTTGCACACTGAAATTCAACACATCAAATCCTAAACGCTTTGAGAATTCTTCGGAATTTCGTTAAAACCCCTCTTTGATGTTCTTCTTCTGTTAAACCATGTTCTACTTACATATGTCCTGTTTTTCAGAGTGTATCTTACTTTCAACTTTTCTTTAGAAATTGATATTACCCAATTAGGTTTACAAAAAAATTTATATTTACATTATACCATTTATATATAACATTATTTTAATGTTTGTAAAAATTTTTATATATCTATGTATGTGTTTTAATGATCAAAATAAAAAAGAAAAAGATTTCACAAATTTTAAAATTACCGCTCAAATTATTTCAAAATGGCCGACATAAAATGATAGAATCAATCAACATTTATACTAATTGTTATACAAATGATAATAATTATAAAAAATATATAACAAATGATATAATTATATTGTAATTAGAAAATTTTGTTCGTAAATACTTTACTAGACCAACGAGAGTTTATTACTCGTTTGAAATAAACGCGCCTGTGCGAGCTCGCACAGTCTTTAATTATACACTCTGATTATGAAAAAGTAGGAGAATATTATTTTTTTTTTGTTTAACGACCTTTTCTTTCCCTACTATTTCTTTTCTCTTCTGTCGAGAGAGAAGAATGCTCTCCTTATTATTATAAGAAACAATATTCCATTCTGGCAATGTACCAACTTGGGTCTCAGTTCGGTCTCGCTTTTTAATGTGGGACGCGCTACGAACCGAAGTCAAGATTTCAATGAATGGACAATTTTATTTCTCTGATATCTTTTATATATTTTATAATAAAATATATAGAAGAGAGATATTTGTATTTATAACAAATAAACAAAATTCATAATTCAACAATCAATTTTTTCTGTTATATATTAAGTTGACTGTAAAGTAATGTTGCTTTCTAACCTTAAATTCAAACGAATAAATTTCTAACAAGTTTTTATTTTTAATCAATAATGTAATCATTAACCCTCGTTATCAACAACCTTTTTTCATCTAATATGCAAATTTTTAATATTTATAATATATAATTAATAATTTTTAATATTATTTAACAATTAATCAGTTTTTGATTAAAATATAAATATTGACTTGTGTAGTAACGATACTTTCCCTCTAATAGAATCGTATATTTATTATAATATTATATTTTATCATAAGAATAATAATAGAAAAATGTTAATAAAATTATTGTCAATTATATAAAATAATATTTATAATGTTAAAGATCACACTAAAATCAAACAACGTGAGGAAGATTAATAAAAATGGATGGGTGACCCGTACGAAAAAACAAAAACTGTATTCTGCTAATTCAAAAAAGGCGGTAAAAATGACACAATATAAAAATAAATAATATGTTTCTTATATTTTATTTTATGAATATTATTATTTATGAAAAAATATTATATTATCATTAACACTAGATATACCACCATTTTCAGTATACTTATTTCTACCGCACTAGTCAAAATGACTGGTGTATAAAAAAAAATGCTTTTTGAGACTTCCAGTCTTTATTTACTCTTAAAAAATAACAAAAAATGTTTAACAATAATAATTTGAATTGATAAATGGATTTATAGACATTTTAAAATAACAAAACGCTTGATTATCTACAGAAATCAAATGTTACATGAAGTAGAAATTTTGAATTAAAATGGCTCGACCAGTCAAAATGACTGGTCTGGTATATCTAATGTTAATTCCTATTTTTGCATTTATCATTGCATATATTTATGTATAATTAAAATTATAATTACAAATAACGCGAGATAAAGATAAGAAAGATAAATCAAATGGAATGAAATTGCTGTAAATATCTGTTCCCTCTCTCTCTCTCTCTCACTCTAAGCGTATATTGTTTTCTATTGAAATAAAAAATAAAAAACTGTTATTATTCTTAACGATATAAAGATAACTAAAATTGAATAGTCGATTTCACGAAGAAATCCCTTGTTGGTACGACCAAACGGAAATGAATTATTCATCCCTCCAAAGGAAATTAGCCGCTATCATCGTACACAACACGCCGGTGTATGGTAATTCGTCGAAGCCTCTCTAACGGATCGTCGACCCCGTTGAATCATCGGAAGAGAAAAATAGAAAGAGTGAAAAAGAATGAGACAAAAAGAGACAGAGACAAAGATAGAACACACACACACACACAAAAATATATATTATAATAAATTACTTAGAGATTGTCTCATAACAATTCAATTGATTGTGAGTTACAACAAGTTTAAAACAAATTCTAACTGAATAAATATAAGAATAAATACTTGTAAATTTCCAAAAGAAAATGAAAAAGAAAGAAAACAAAATCTATATTTTTATTATACATATACACACGCATATATGTTCACGTGTGTGAATATTTACGAGTCAGTTCGAACCCATTCCCAAGTAGGTTGGCAAGTAGTCACGCGTCGACTTTTGACCCAGTTCAAAGCTTGCAAGCTTCGCTTACTTTAAAACCATTCTATTAGAGAATAAACGAACTCTGTATAAGATATCCTAAGTGTGTATCTACGTATATGTATAAACCATAAATCGCATGGGTTTGTAAAGTTAAGCGTAGGAAGACTTAGAGAGAGGGAGTACGAAGAAAGAGAAAGAGAAAGAGAGAGAGAGAAAGAGAAATATACTAACTTAACGTACTTTCAAAATTATTGATAGATTTCTTTATACAGTATGCATTATACATATACGCATTGATAAACTTTCTGTAAAATGACTTACTTACTTTAAACTTTTTTTTATTTTGTAGCCCTACTCCAATTTATAACAGATTAATAACAAATGTGATTTTTAAATTAAAAATATTCTTGTTTGTTTGTTTTTTTTTTTAAATACAGTAACCTGTTAACCGGGGAATTCCCATTTTAATTACGCAGCTTTTTTTATTATTTTATATATATATATTTATTTATTATTATTTGTGCTTAAAATAAATGAAAAGACTATGAAATATATATTTTTGTCGTTTATTTATATATATAAAATACGTAAAATACGTTAGACGTCTTTATACGTCTCACCCGGTTAACAGATTAATAATTACGTCAATGATAATTTCTTTTTAAAGTTAATTGTAATTTGATAAGACATTATGTAATCGAAAAAGATTTGGAATTTTAAACATTATATATGTCTGATGAAAGATACGTTAAGATCTTTTTAAAAAGGGTCAATTTTATTCGACAATGCTAGTAATGGCTTAATTTTGTCAATTACGATAAGAATCGAATGTTAAATGAAGGCATCAACGCATTATGCACAGTTTTCTATCTTTATCTATTCCTTTGTAGAAATCGTTGAAGTAATGAACAGAGGCCATTCATGAATTCACGTCTATAAAGTACACCACACAGCTAATGATACGCCTTTACTGTAGAATACTTGAGCAAGACAGAGAGAGAGAGAGAGAGAGAGAGAGAGAGAGAGAGAGAGAGAGAGAGTGAGAAAGAAAAAGAGAAGAAAAAAAGAAAGAGAGAGAACATTCGAAGGATCTTCTTCTCATCCTCCATTTTGACGTCGCACATCCACTTTACCGCTACCTTCATAATTATTTCCGTCTACGGTCACGAATGAAAATTTATTCGCTAAAATATTAAAACTTATTACGTTC